AGTTCATCGGAAGATACCAAGACATTGTTGATAAATATTCCGTATCAACTTCACAAATAGTTCATGGTGGTCTTTGAGTATAGATTCTAGGTACTGACGTTGTCTATCATCTTAATTACGTATTATAGTGTTCTTTTTATTTGTCTTTGTATATTTTTAACCTTTACTGTTTAGTCCATTTTAGGTACATACTTTTAGCGTGGCTTATATTAAAGGTAAAATAATTTCTCTTTTTAAAAATGAGTAAGTGTTTTCTACCCAGATTCTCTGTATACAATTATAATAGTTATGGACATATATTGAATGAGAATTATACATGGAGATATCATGAGATACTAACCCTATAACAACGCACCTTTTCCTGAAGTGTCATAAAGTATAAAGAGTATCCTTCATGAAATTCTATACGGTCTTTAAAAATTGAGACACCAGATGTGGTTGTGTATTTATTCATCCCGCACAGCAGAACAGACGCACCTATTTACCCAAGAGTTACTTTCGGGTTGCGATAAGACCAGAGGACCATATTTTACTACACCAGTCAACCCTTGCGGTTTGGGTAGCAAAGCTAACGAACAATTAATTGTTTTGTTATAAATTAGGCCGTCAGTTTGTTCCAATCCAATTAGTTATGATAATGCTATAAAATATTACTAAATTTTGCAGTTGATGAAATCGAATATCATTTAAGTGCAGTTGATGAAATGGAATATCATTTAATTCATTTTCCAGTCTTGATTTTGAAACTCGTGACTATCAAAGTTGCATCAACTGACAAAATATTTGTATTCCTCATCTCAGATATGGACTTTCACCTCATTTTCTCATCAATGAATATTATGTCAAGATGACTTATTTTTTAGACCCTCCTGACTATAAAAGATGCATCTGCTTACAAAATATTATATCTCCACGAGTTGTATCTCAGATATTGACTTTAACGCAAACTTTAATCAGTCACTCATATATGAAATGTAGGTCAAGATGACCTTATTTTTATCAGGACCCTTGGTTATTCAAGACGCATCTATGAACAAAATATCATGAACTATGACTTATACTTCCACAGATAGATGGACTTTAACTTTGTGACGGACAGATGAAACACTATATCCCTTCCCCAACTTCGTTTGACAAAAGATATAAAAATCTTAAACCAAACAAATGTCAAATTATTCCTCTCAGTAAAGGTTGAAAAATCCTCAACAAAATGTTGTCATTTCTATTCGGTTTTGGTGAAATTTTAAAGTATCAACAAACAGACATAAAAATATGGATGTAGCTTTGCATGATATTTAACAATGAATTCTGCTCAAACCGATGCGAGGGGTCAACTTGAACTTATTACCAATTATGAGGAATACTGCTCATTGTTGAATGCCTCATGGTGACTTGAAGATGAATGACAACAATAAAAACGTTCAATTTTTGGGATTTACCATATATTGATATTAATATTGTCTCATGTAAATTTACTCCATATACCTTCACATTTTCATTGGGTATACGCAAAACTAAAAAACTGCTTACATATTACAACTAAAAATCAGAAAGATTCAGACAGTATAACAAATTATTCTCTTCGTAACAGCTGAGAAATCCTTGACAAAATGTTTTCATTTCTGTTGGGTTGCAGTAAAATTGCAAAGTATTAACAAACACCAAGTGGATATTTTAGAGACTTGAAAATCACTTTCAGTTACTGAAGTTAAAAATCCTTTTTGCGTGAACCCCCTGAGGGGTCTTTGATAAGTCCCTCTGTGGATAGGCTACCACGTGACATTTTATATTTCAACAATCAAAGTTCATTTGTAGATTGGAAAGTAAAACAATAAAGACTAGGTTGCAGTAAAAAAATTATTGATATGTTAAGAACTTATTTGCCTTTCGACAAAACATGTGTTTTAATAATGTGAATGTTTATTAAATATCAAGTATAATGAAAACGCAATTATATACTTCATGCTTTGAGACGGTCCTTGTACGCGTTGTGTGTGTAGTATTTTATATACATTGTAGCGTCACGTTGTGCATTGTGACTATAAACCTGGGAATAGTTTATTGACATATAATGTCCCAGAATAAACTGATTATTTCTGAACGTTTATCATTTGATATTTTGTATTTCAATCATAGCATGGGAAAATGTCGGAAGGCATGATGAAAATTAAGAAAACGATATTTCTGTTAAAAATATTCATATTAGGCCGGAAAGCAGAAAGATAATCAAACAAAAGGATTTTTCTGCTAAAATATCTATATTTCATTAATAGATACTACCAGACTAAGAGAATATTCTTATTAAGTTTAAACTGAGACTGAATTTATTCTTAATAGAATATGATTAAATTAGTCATATATACGTGCATTATGTCTCATAGGTTTGAACATTCATTACATTTATGAAAATTATATGCAAAATATGAGCACCAATGAGCAGGGATGCGTACCTAAAGGTATCTAAATATTTAAATTTTAAACAGTCGTGAATGAAAAAATATGGAGATATGATAGATAAAATAAATGCATCCAGTTTATAAAGCAAACTGAGTGCTTAAATTTATATTGCGATTGGTTTATGCAATTTGCATTAGACATCCGGTTTGTAGAAACTGGGATTTGCAAAAGGGTTATGAGAAAATGATGTACACTCCCAAGTAATAAATAAAATAGTCCAGCCTTAAAATGTATATTCAAATAGTAGCTGTACATTGTACATGCAACTATCCAACATTGATTTCAAATGACGTGTGCAAAAATCTACACACAATTACATATTTTCAATAAAGGTGTTTTAACATCATTATTATATTATTCTATTCACAGTCAATTATTTCAATTCAAAAGCAAACAATTTTCAGCAACATTGTTTTGGTGACCAGTCAGCGGTCTTAGGTTCACGTATTGCTTTTCTTCTTTTTTTTTTTTTGAAAGAAAGCAACTTGTATCTGTGCGATGCTTCTGGATTGGACTGATGATAATCTCCGAGAAAAACGAATGGCTTGAACTTTGACATTTCTGTGTCTTTGTGAAAAACCAGCGTAACATGGACCTATAAAAACTCCCGAGATCGTTTACGTTGAAAGTGAAGATATCTTTATTATGATTATTTTCTTAGTGATGAAAACTGTATACATAATAATCAAAATAGAATATCAAATAACTATTTTGAGAAAAAAAAAACGCAAACTATAAATCATTTCCCATGTTCCGACAACGAGTTGTTTTAAGATTATGGTACCTTGTTTACATTTCTAAAAATAACCCGGTTTGGGAATTTACGCAAATACGAGTCACGCATTCTGTGCATAAAAACAAAAACAATGAACATTCACTGTTATAAATATATTTAATTTATTTTTTTGGCATCTTCTTCTTTTAAAAAAAGATTAATAATAATGTATTTATTTCAATTACCTAAAATCTTTAATTTTGCATATACAGAAAATAATATAGATCCGCAGATAATCATGTAACAATCTCAAACCCATATCTTAAGATGGACCGGCTTAGTGCCGGCCCATAATAAAGCTTAAATCAAAACAACATTTCGCTTGTTTGCAACTTCTCTATAATCGTGCCTTTGTTTTGTGTTTTTTTTATTTGGGAAAGTATACTAAATAGTTATTGATATTATTCAAAATGGATATCGACAGCAGCAAAAGCGACAGAAAGAATTTTAGATACTTCATACAAAAGGACGATGGTCAGAACCAATAACGTTCATTAATGTCTTCGATTTTTTGATCGTTTACATGAAACTGAGAGTAATTACTTTGAATTTTAACAGTTGTTTATCTTTTTAACAGGTCAAACCTATTCGATCTTTGTTCAATTTTTAAGTTCTTTTAACTAGTTATGTCGTTTCAAATATCTACTTCTCCGCTTAATACTCGTCATTAAAACATGTACAAGATGCTATTACAACTCATCAAAGATACCAGGCTTATAAGTTAGTCAGACGAGCGTTTCTTCTACATAAGACTCATAAGTGGTGCACGAACTAACAGTTGTAATGTCAAATCTCATACCAAGTACCGAAAATTTCAAAAGATTGTGCTTACTACGGCTAAGGCAATCTATGCCTGGAGGTGAAAAAAAAACTCTGAGAAAAACAGAAATATCGTCTAATCAATAATGAAGCTTTTGTATCTCAGATAGATTTTACTGGCATATTGACAAACTGTTTCCTGTTTTATAAATGAGTGCCCTGTAAAGGAGTGCTACCATTATCTATCGTCGGACACGAGCTTTTTTCTTTTAGAAAATGGGCCTTACTTAAAAACATTTAAAATACATTTTAGGGAGTTATGAAATATCTAAATCTATTTATTTCTTTTTCTTATCATTTTGATCATATGAACAATAAAAAGAAAGAAGTAAAATATGTTGAATGTCATTTGTATTGTCTACAACCGTGTCATTGCTATTTAAATACTGAATTCCTCTAGGGAATACAAACAGGACTTTGGTATGTTCAAACGGAAAGCAATTGGAATTAAAAGTCAATAAGGAATTGGTACGTCTATTTAACGACAAGACACTGTAATCGAAAATGTCAACTGTTAAACAAAAACATATGACTGACTTTTTACAGATAGGGTCATAGGTCGTTTCTTTTAATTACAAATCATCTTGAAAATGTCAATTAAGTTCACAGGAACATATTAGGTCAATTATTTCCTAACAAAATAGGTTATCAAACAGAAGAAAAATAATAAAATGTCAATTAGCAATAAAATTCCTTTTTGTTCTAAGAAAACAATTTAGAGAATATGTTTATAAAAATAAGGGTACACGTGTCTGATACGTTATCACGTTTTGTAAACTTTATGTTCTTTCATCTGAGCAAGAAGACACTGGTGAAACAAATATTATTATTTCTTAATTGCATTACATTTAATCAGGCAATGCTCTTCGATCTAATATAATTAACCGTTCTCCATATTAGTTATAACAAACACATATCATTTGTATGATAAACGTTCGATGAATAACTAAATAAATTTCCGCCTGGCCAATGCAATTGGGAATCAGCCATGTGAAGGTGGCTGTAAGTGGAATATCTAAAGAATTGATTTGTGAAACACCCACCAGATAAGAATGGATATAGTCTATAAAAGCAGTGTAGTTTATTAATTAAACTTGTTATTGCTACCTGGAATAATAGTGGACACCTGGTAAGAATTTTATATGCTTGTTTTCTCTTTTTAAATTAGAATATTTCCTAATTATTGAACAAACAACGATTTAGTGGTGAAGGCATATACGCATAATTAAGCAATACATATAGTAAGGATTTTTAAAATTAATTTTCAATGTATGCAACAAAATAATATAAGATGAAAGTATTATTACTGTTTTCATCTATCTGTAAATCATTGTTTGATTGCAACAGTTCTTCAACAATAATCATTTAGTTTACTGAAAGACATACAATGAACAAAAGTAGCGATGTCAATTTGAAATAATTTTTCATTGATATATTTTTGATACATGTTAGATATAACAATAAATATTGATCAATGTTCATTATTGATGAAAGCATTGAAAATTGTTAATAAATAGAAATTGCCGCAAACGAACAGTAATAATGAATTTAAATAAAAAGATAACAAACTTTTTAAAAATCGACACAAATTCCAGCATACAACTTGTATTAGTTAACGTATGTATTTGGAAAAAAATACATAAAGTATTCTTTTAAATAGATCTAGTTCTTATGATTTTTATGAAATGTATGATACAAAAACCTTTATATCTATCGTTTAGAAGATATTTTTTAACTTCAATTTAAAAAAGTTCAAGTTCGATTGACAGATTATTGTTTTTCCACAAATTATACCTTCTACAGTTAGCATATCAGACCAAAACTATTTTCAATAGTAAGGAAATCAGACCAAAACAACAAGTTTTACGAGTATGTGGGACTACTTGAATTTTAGAGTATAATAATTATGTAAATACTTAACTGTATCGTTTCTTTTGTTGATAAGTATAATATTGTTGTCTTCAGTATTGAGCGCGTTTGGTTTTTAGACAATAATGGCATAGAAATAAAGTTATCGTGTACTCGAAATAAACTTGATAAATTTTCTATCAACGTCAAAGAAATAGATGCATGTTTCATATACTTATGAAAGATTGAAGTGGATTATATCAAGACAGGCAGTTTAAATATGGAAATTTTGAAAATTTGAACAAATGTCAAAAACCATTGTTCAACAAGGCATACCAAATTATTACTGAAATAATTCAGCATTTCTGGGAAAAAGTAAAAGCAAATGCCATAAAATGAATAACAAAACTACTTTCCATAAAATAATTTAACAACTCTTGTTTTTATTGCTGATGAGTACTAACACACAGCTTCACGTTGGAACCAGGTTGATCGTAAATCTGATTCTCTTCATATCTGCCCTTTGTGTCTATTTATCCATTATTTATCACAAATACAGACCGTTGTGGTAGAATTGATGGTACAATAAGATTGTATTTGACAAGTAGATTCAGCAATGGGCGTCCCTGGTGCAGGTGGGTCCTGATGAGCGAATCGGACGTAAGAGGGTTTTTTTAGTATTGTTTCCATTTGTTTACGCTTGTATTTATATTTTACTCATTTTGTACTTTATTGAGAAGGTGTGTGAAATATATGGTATGTTCTATCAGCTACATTTGTTTTATCGGCGTCTTTGTCAATATGCTATCAACTACAAAGAACTTTTGTTGGCCTCTTTGTTAAGATTTATTTGTATGTTTGTTTGAATTTTTTAGCCAGTTTTCATGTATATTTACACAATTTGGCTGCTGGATCCCAATTGTTGTCACATTTACATATTAAGTCTGTTCGGGTTGCTCAATCAATTTTGTCAATATAACGTACGTTAATCAACGGAACTATGAACAACTGTTATATAAGTGGAAGGTTTATCTAGTTATAAAACTAGGTTTAACCCACCATTTTCTTCGTAAAATGTCTCTGCCAAGTAAGAAATATGGCAGTTGTTTTTCACTCGTTCCTTTGATTGATGACATTTGATTTTGTTCGTTTTTATAGACTTCCCGTTTTTGAATTCACCTTGGTTATTTTTGTTATACTTTGTTATTGTTATATTAGGTACATTTTGGAAATTTTTGTCTAATGCGATTTATAAGTTTTGCTGAAAATAAGGTTGAAAACTGTAATGGTACATTTAAAGTTAACCCGCAAGTTTTACAAATACAATTAAATGTTGATGCTTAACGTTTAGCTGCAAATAGTTCAGGCATACATTTAGGACCCGAACGAATTGATTAATAAATCATCCGAGAAGGTTTTACAAAGTAGTTAGACCGCGATGAAGTCATTTTATTTGGACTTCCACTGAAAGTAGAGAATTTAGTGATATGTCAGACATGTTTACCTTGAAACTGACCATCTATGGACATCCCAACGAGTTGTTGCAAATGATGTTTAATGTGCAGAGACCGTTGCACTCTCTCAATTGGATTCCTCAAATAAACGTTTTTCTTTGGTCTGGATTTGACTGTGTATTTTACGAAAAAAAGTCCATGTTATCACATTTGTTTACCCCAGATACTGGTTATTCAATAAACATTTTACAATTATTTTTATTATATGGTTCTTATACAAATACACATCTGCGTTTTCAAACTTTTAACAAATCAAAGTTATAAATATCAGTATGTTTCGAACATTCATAACATTCAAGTATTTCACTGTGACATTGTCAACATTAACGGAAAGAAATTCGTCATAGTGTTAATAATTTATTGATATAGGTCATGTGTCATCCGAGAACTAAATATATTGAAGCAGTGTTATGGATGACACCCTGCAAATTCGAAAATGTGTTAGTAGCGTAATTGTGACATTTGCTATGATTTATTTGACTATCTAGTTTCTGGTTACCTAATGTTTCTATCGCTGATTCCAAATGAACATGAAACAAGAAGTCTATGGGGTTTCTTCTAGATATTTTTCAAGGCATTTACACTTTGTAGGCAACCTCACAACTGGGATATACCACACACCGTACATATTTTTTTACAGTGTTTTAAAAACGTTTTTGTAATGGTATTAGCTTGATCCTTCGTCGACTCATGATTTTGATTGTGCCATTAGTATTTTCTTACCTTTCCCAATTATAAAGTAATAACAAACAATCTGTCCATTTGTGAATCAAAATAAGACCATCTAGAATTTTAGAAAAACAAACCATATTTTATCGATATCTCTAATGGTCTTTGAAGGATTTATTTCAATCCTATGATATTTGAAGACAGACTCATTATATATAGATTGAAGAACTTATATTTTCCTCCTATGCGATTTAGTCCTGAACACTTTTTATCATGTGAATAAATTCACCTGACGCCATCAAAGCTCCATAATGTTTTCTTTTTGAAAGGGAAAACAAAAACTTTTATCGATATCCTATTGCCCCTGTATATTTTACCACTGGTTACATATACAATTACTATTTTGTCCATGCTTATCACGTTTTCTCTGGAACAAAAGGTCAGAGCTTCCTATAAATTTCATAACAAGCTTTTTGTGAGCATGCGATACTGTGTGGTCGGTTTTAACACTCATTGCTAATCTGAGTATGCTAATACGAGCCTTTGGTGTATCGTATTATAAGTCTGATATCCTTTCCCAATTTCCTGTTGATATATATCCATTCACTAACGGCTATGTTTAAAAGAGATACGAAAGAACTCTTAAGTCGAAAATAAACTGACAACGCCATGGCTAAAAACACAAAACACAACATAGAAAACTAATGACTGAGCAACACGAACCCCATCATTGAAAATGTTCGTCGCATTTGTTCTAAGTAACTACAAATCTTGGCGTTTTAAACTTTATAATCAAGCGTTATGTGAGCATGGTTTACCTTGTGATGCATTTTTGCATCAATTGCTCATCAACTTCGTGTGAACCGAATACTTTTATATTCTTACATTTAATGACCATGTAGGAGATTTTCGTCGTATTGTTATTAGAAACTTAAAATCAGGGCTTTCTGAAATTTGGAGTCAAGCTTCATGTGATCATGCTTTACCGTATGATGCGTTTTTTTTTATATATCTATTGGTTTACCGAAAATCTAAAGCGGGGTGTCATTTGTGGCAAATAGCACAGTTCCACTTGTTTATCCTGAAATCGGTATATGACATTAACCTTACTATTTATCTTTTTGATAATTTTTAATTATGGTTATAATTACGGTTTTATTTATGGTTAACACATAATCCTTCTAACGATATTTTTAGTTCATTATATTATATGAAAATGCTTAGCGGCGATGGTCACACAGTACCTCTGTATTGTTCTGTTTCTATCTCATTTCCTCATTAAGCTACTCATTAAAAATTCTACCCCTTCAAAGTATTGGTATACTATGAAACAAACATATCAGTTTACGTTGTAAACAAATAACTAATGATTGTATCTTAGTGATATGATACAGCCAAAATATTAACAATCTTCATATATTTTTAGTATAATATAGTGTAAATATACGAGTTTCAGGGTTTATTTGTTCGCTTGAGTTGTTGTAATTGTAATTGTAATTGAAAACAAAAATCGAATGCTACAAATACGTTTTATCGCGGTATGATATTGCGTTAACAGTAAAAAGGAAAAAAAAAAATCTGAATCAATGATTCGATTGATTTGAAAGACAGTTATTCCGAAGTAAATGAGTACTATGGTTTAGACTCCTTAAGTGAAATTATGAAAAACCAAAGTGAAAGTCCTTTATCAATAATAAGAGCTGTTTGATAGATAAATATGATACCAAGTTTTAAATCAACATTTACCAGTATATTCATTGTACAGGATACTTTGAAGCTAGAAAACAATAATTTGCGACTCATGTGTTAGATATGAATACAGTATTTCAATTGTATTGTAAATAGTCATATATAATATGATATACCGATAGAACAATTCCGATGGTTTCAACGTACCTTATGATGTGAAATAGGCTACATTATCTCATAGCCTTCAATTACAAGCAATTACGATTCAGGACATATTTTTCATAGCATTGTTTATACAAAAAATAATACACTCAAGGATTAAAGCACAAAAATAAGTACCAGCGAACACATATTTCCGATATGGGTAATTTTTCATCACGATACACCTTGTAAATTACAGCTGTAACAC